CCACCCTCTAGCTGGCTAACTGTGAGGATTAACCCATACCTCAGTCTATAAATGCTGTGCAGGTGCTGACCGCTTGAAGCAGAATTCACCTCAGTGACTGAGTTGTGTGGTACCTACTGAGATCTCCCTTTCTCAGGCAGCTAATTGGATCCCACTCTGATGTTGTTTGAAGGTGACCACTCACGTGTTGGTTCTGGGTCCTCCTGGGAGGGACTCTGGTGCAGGCCAATACAGACACTGCCTGTGACTGGCCTTAGGCAACCTATTTAGAGCTACAAAGCCAGTTTGTGGATGCCTCTGCTGGGAGTGGGTGTGCATGGGAAGAACCAAGCTGTATACCTAGGCCAGCTTTTCCCAATATCAAACCCATGGGCAGGTCAGCAAAAGTTCCAAGGTACTCTGAGAGCTGCCTCTGCTGCCTCTGCCTGTTGAATCCCTATTAGGTTCAGTCACTGAAAGAGCCTCTGGTGGTACTCAAGTTGCATGAGATAGGTTCTCAGTGAGTCACCACGTAGGGGTAAGTGGCATTCACCAGACTGAATACACATTTAAACTCAGTCTAGGAATTCCAAAATGGCGGTGGAGTGAATGGAAGCTACACAGACCGTCTCCCAGGACCAAGCTGGAATTACAACTAAAATAAAGACAAATTGGCGGGAAAAAGCAACAGAAAAGCAGCTTGCGAGAATCATATAACCAGAAACACTGACTCGATCCTGGTAGGATTGCGGAGGTGCGAGAGGGGAGCTGGGGGCCACAGACAGCAGCAGCCTTAGCTGTGAGCAGCGCCGTCGGGTTACACTCCCAGGCAGCTCCACAGCGCAGCCGGGACAGAGGCTGAAACAGCCACAGCTACTCACCTTGGGCTCTGGCAGAGGGAGGGCGGTCTGGACTGGAACTATGTGGGGACACTCAGGATTTGGAGGGGGCTCAGAGCTTTTGCTGAGTTGCAGCCATGCAGAATGGTGGCCATCTTACTCCTTCCCAGGGCTCTGGGGAGAGGCGGCAGTCCCTCCCTCAGAGATTCAATCCCACCCAGGTGGGCCATTGAATTGCAAATTGAGGCTCACTAACAACCAGCATTTACCCCACCCTCAGCAAATCCCCTTATGCTGAGCACCTGAGGGAGTTTTTCATTCAACTGAGAACCCAAGGCTCTTCAAGTAACCACTACTGAAAGCCTCCAGGCAAAAAGCTAGAGGATAACTGTACCATTCCTGGGCTAGCAAATCTACCCAGGAAAGTAAGACTTGACAGTGGTGTTTAACGTGAGTCCTCCCTCGCTCATCCAAACCTAGGAGAGGGAACCACAAACAGCAGAACACCAACACCCACAGGAAATATTTGGCAGGCTCCAAAGCCCAATGTGATAGCCAATATGTTAAAACACAAAACCAAAAGCCACATGAAAAAACAAGAGACCTCTACCGAAGATGAGATAAATGTGGAGCAGTTAAGCAAGTTAACAGAGCTAGAATTCAGAGCCATGATCTTGAGGAAGCTCAACAGCATAAGTAAGGACATAGAGATATTGAAAATCAACCAATTGGAAATTAAAAACAACCAAGAAGAAATCAAGAATGACATATCAGAAATAAAGAACACATTGGAAGGTCTAAATAGCAGAGTAGAGGAAGCTGTGGACCAGATCAGTGAATTAGAAGACGGGTAGAAAAAAATCAACCAATCAGAAAACTAAAAAGGAAAAAAAAACCTTTAAAAAACAGGAAGACAGCTTAAGAGAACTGTGGGACAACTGGAAACGTAATAACATTCGCATCATAGGAGTCCCCGAAGAAGAAGAAAATGAGCAAGGGTTAGAGGATATATTTGAAGAAATAGTGACAGAAAACATCCCTAATTTGGTGAAGGAAGAAGGCATTCAAGTTCAAGAAGCACAGAGAGCCCCAAGTAAGAAGAACCCAAACAGGCCCACACCAAGACACATAGTAATTAAAATGCCAAAAATTAAAGACAAAGAGAGAATCCTAAAGGCAACAAGAGATAAGCAACAGGTTACCTACAAAGGAACCCCCATAAGGCTCTCAGCTGACTTCTCAAAAGAGACACTACAGGCCAGAAGGGAATGGCATGAGGTAATCAAGGTCATGAAAAACAAGGATCTGAATCCAAGACTACTTTACCCAGCAAGGTTGTCATTCAAAGTAGAAGGTCAAATAAAGAGCTTGCCAGACAAAAAAAGGCTAAGAGAATACATTAGCACCAAGCCAGCACTGCAAGTAATGTTAAAAGGACTGCTGTAATTAGTAGAAGAAATAGGAAGAAAAATAAACAAAAATGGCAATAAATAAGTACATATCACTAATCACCTTAAATGTAAATGGAATGAATGCTCCAATAAAAAGACAGAATAGCTGATTGGATAAGAAAGCATGATTCATCTATATGTTGTTTACTAGAGACACACCTCACAACAAAAGAGTCACATAGGTTGAAAGTGAAGGGATGGAAAAAATCTTTCAAGCAAACAGAAAGCACACACACAAAAAAAGCTGGGGTAGCAATACTCATATCTGAGAAAATAGATTTCAAAATGAAGGCCATAACTAGAGACAAAGAAGGCCACTACATAATATTGAAAAAAATCTATGCAACAGGAAGATATAACCTTGATAAACATATATGCACCCAATATAGGAGCACCAAAATATATTAAAAATCTTCTGGAGGATTTTAAAGGAGAGACTGACAGCAATACAATCATAGCAGGGGACCTCAACACCCCGTTGACACCACTGGATAGATCCTCTAGACAAAAAATTAGCAAGGAAACAGAGACTCTAAATGAAGCACTAGAGCAAATAGATTTATTAGATATCTACAGAGAATTACATCCCAAAACATTCTTCTCAAGTGTACATGGGACATTCGCAAAGATGTTTCACATCGATGTTTCTCTCTCTCTCTCTGTTCCTCTCTCTCCCTCCCACTCTACCTGAACAAAAAATGGAAAAATATCCACGGGTGAGGATTAAAAAAAAAAAAAAAATCAATAAAAAAAAATTATTAAAAAAAAAAAAATTAAATTAAAAAGAAAAGAAAAATAAGGAGAGAGAGAGAAAAGACAGAGGACAAAAGATGGGATTGGGAGGGCTGACAGAGAGACTGTCGCCTGGAGTTTATTTTTTATTTTTTATTATTATTATTTTTTTAATCCTCACCCGAGGACATTTTTCCATTTTTTGTTCAGATAGAGTGGGAGGGAGGGAGAGTGGGAGGGAGAGAGAGAGAGAGAGAGAGAGAGAGAGAGAGAGAGAGAGAAACATCGATGTGAAAGGGACACATTGAGTGGCTGCCACCCGCAGACCAACCAGGGCCGGGGACAAACTGCAACCGAGGTATGTGCCCTTAGCAGGAACTGAACCCGGGTCTCTCCGGACTGCAGGTCGACGCTCTAACCGCTGAGCCAAACCGGCCAGGGCTGGAGTTCATTTTTACGCGTACATTTATAGCATAAGATTACATAAGTTGCATAAGTACATATTGTTTAAATTCTCGGAATTTTTGCTCACATCCTGATTACAAATCCTGGCTCCCTATTTTCCCAGCCAAGTTGTCTTTGCTTTACATTCCTGCTTAATCTTTAACTACTAAGCTTTGGTTAACTTCTCTTTTCTCTAGTTTTCTCTTGCAAGTGCTATAACATTTGCTTTAACCCCTAGATAACCAAACTCCCTGAAAATCAGAGAGAGCTGCAGAGCCTTTCGCAAGTTACTTTGTAAACCTTGTTCTCGGACTTTGTCACACGAGATGGCTTCCCACAAGCCACAAGCCCCAGTCTCTCCTCACGTGACTTGAGTCCACTTTGCCTTCCCTCTGCCAGAGCCCAGGGTGAGTGGCTGCAAATGAGATTTTGTGCACTGGCCTTTTAAGAGGGCACCTGTGTCTCTAGCAGACTCCTGTCTCTTCCTGGCAGAGACTCCCCGCTGGTTTTCACAGCCAGATGTTATGTGAGCGCCTCTTCCCAGCTCTGGTGATGCGGGTTGGGGAGCCTGTTTGGGGGTTGAAACCTCATGCTTCTCAGGGGAACCTTTGCAGCTGAGCTGTCCCTCTGGAATCTCCCTCCCGTGGGAGCGGGGCCAAGACGTTTTTTGTCTCTGCCCTTCCTACCAGTCTTGGTGTCGCTTCTTCCATAAATCTTGGTTATAAGACTTCTCTTCAGCTAGTTTCCAGCGGGTTCTTCGGGTTGGTTGCTCTGTATTTTAGATGTAATTCCAGTTTGGTCCCAGGAGAAGGTGAGTGTAACATCCACTTGCTCCACTGCCATCTTGGATCTCCTTGGTGTTCCTGAGCTTGTGGCTGCATCCCTCCATCCTGCCTCTGTTGTCACACGGACTTCTCCCTGTGTGTGTGTTTCCAAGTTTCTTTCTTTGAATAAGAACATCAGTCATATTGTATTAAGGGCCCATCCTATTTCACTATGACCTCATCTTAACTAATCACATCTGCAACAACCCTGTTTCTAAATAAGGTCACATTCTGAGGTACTGGGGAGTAGGACTTCAACACATTATTTTGGAGGACAATTTTAATCCATAACAAAAGCATTAGCCATAAGGAAAAGGACTGGTATAGTTCATTATATTAAATAAAAAGGGAACAATTTCTCTCTTCTGTAAGATATGTCAGATAAAAGAGATGAAAAAGAGGTTAGAAGTTCTTTTCCCTAATTTTAGTAATCTTGATACTATAAAACTAATGTGAGTGCTAGATAAACAAAAAACTATGTACTTTAGCATGGTGCTATTTAATTATAAAAGTAATATTTGCAAAATTTAATAAATATCACAAGGATAGCATCAGTGCATCCTCAGGTTTTTTTTATTTTTTTTTTTATCCTCACCCGAGGACATTTTTCCATTTTTTTTGTTGAGGTAGAGTGGGAGGGAGAGAGAAGAACAGAGAGAGAGAGAAACATCGACGTGAAAGGGACACATCGAGTGGCTGCCACCCGCACGACCAACCAGGGCCGGGGACAAACTGCAACCGAGGTACGTGCCCTTAGTGGAAACCGAACCCGGGTCTCTCTGGACCGCAGGCCGACGCTCTAACCGCTGAGCCAAACCAGCCAGGGCGCATCAGTGCATCCTCAAACATCATGTTTGCCTCAGTGGTGAGAGTGTTGGCAGGGACCAGAGAGTCCCTGGCTGGGTGGCTTCGTTGGTTGGAACATCTTCAGGTGGACCAAAAATATTGTAGGTTCAATTCCTGGTCCAGGCTTGTCCAGGAGGAAACAAATAGATATTTCTCTCATACTGATGTTCCCCTTTCGCTTGCTCTCTTTCTGGGTGATATGCTCTGTGACTGCTCAGGTGGACTATTGTCACATTATATCACCCTAAAGTGAAAGGTCATTTTGAGGGCACTGTTTTATATTTTTTGTTGAAGATCGTCTAGCCAACTAAAAAGGCCCCAAAATAACTGGCTTGTTGGTCCATGTCAATCAGTTGCTCATGAGTTACAGATACAAAAATTCTGTCATTTTCTTGAAGCTCAAATATTCCACCTTGGTAGATGGAATAGAGTCCATATTGTCCGTCTTCAGACCAGCAACTATTTCTAGCACTTTTCATTAGCAGTATGGGGTCAGGATAACTTGTGACTTTGTAAATATATTGTACCATTTGTTTGTTTTTCCTTCTGCTCCCTACTGTTGGAGGATCCTCCTGAAATCGAAAGTATGTTTGGGAATAGATATAATAAAACCCTGTTTGATGGACAACCAACTCTCCTTTCCTCAGGTGCAAATTATTTAAGAATGAATGTCCGTTTCTTGATGACTCCCAGGAGGTTATTTTCTGGCCCAAAGCTTTTTCATTCTTTGAGTCTGGAGGAAGGGTAGAGAGAAAGAAAGTTAACAAAAGGGAGTTTGTAGCAAAGCAAGGTGTTTCCAATAGCTGTTGTTAGTCTATTTATTGGTTGGTGTGGCAAAGGATTTCAATCAAATATAAAACTTCTTGCTCCTCTAACCTCACAAGGATTCTAAATTCTGATCATATGGAAATCTGAAGGCTTCTGTATTTTCATGAACTACTGAGAGTGTGTTATGTTTCTGTACCTCATCTACCATAGCAGCACAGAGGATGGTTCACTCAGATGACAATCTTTCTTCCTAGGCAGGACTTCTGTCCTGAACCCTGGCCTCCCTTCCTGTGCTGCTGAGTTCAAATGAACAACACATAGAAAAACCAAAAGAGCCCTGGCCGGTTTGGCTCAGTGGTTAGAGCATCGGCCTGTGGTCCAGAGAGACCCGGGTTCAGTTCCCCCTAAGGGCACGTACCTCGGTTGCAGTCTGTCCCCGGCCCTGGTTGGGTCATGTGGATGGCAACCACTTGATGTGTCCCTTTCAGGTCGATGTTTCTCTCTCTCTTTCTCCCTCTCTATCTGAACAAAATATAGAAAAATGTCCTCGGGTGAGGATAAAAAAAAGAAAGAAAAACCAAAAGAAATATCACTACTTCCTTAAGCCTAGAGCTCAGAACTTCTTGCTATTCCTTTGAATCTCTTTGGATTCCCTCCTTGGTCTTTCTCAACAGTCAAAGGCACCATCCAAACCGGAAGCAGCTCTCGTCCACAATAAGACGGAGCACAGGTTTGGCAAAGAGATCCTAGATTTCAAGATCTTCAGATCCTTGGATCTTTAAGAACCTAGAGACTAAATAAAAAGGGTCCTACAAAATATGATATTCCTTTAAAATTTGGGCTCATTTCCACAGCTGAAATAAAATTTAGTTTTTCAAGAGTGTGAAATAACTATCACATTTGTTGATGAGTAGTAAATAGTAATATCATAATAATGGTCTCACTCATAAGCAGAATGTGCTAATCATTTATAAAATACGAGTTCAGGACTAGGAGGAAGGCTACTGCCTAGAAACAACGCAAACGACACACAAACCCCTCAAAACACTCCAATGAACTTTTCATCCATGAACTGCCTGGAATTTAACTTGGGACAAAACCTTTCACAGTATTAAAGTAACTACTTAGTGAGTACTTAGAATACACCAAGCATTTTGCATGTGTTAATCATTACTGTTGAATGAGTTAAAGATGATCTCCACTTTGTATAAAGATGATCTCTATTTTGTATAAGTAACTGAAGCTTGATTTGGTAATTTGTTCAAAACATATGTTTAGGTTAGGAGGAGCTGGGCTTCCAATGTGAGTATTCAGATGGTAAGATCCATGAACTTAACTACAGGACTCTGTAGACGCTTGCTTCTGAAAAGAGTCAGTCTGAGACCTGATTACTACCCAGCATTTTGTAGATAGTTATGTACACATTTCAGGTACAAGTTAAAAGAATAAATTGGCCCAGCCGGTGTGGCTCAGTGGATTGAGCATTGCCCCGTGGACTGGGAGGTCCCAGTTCAATTCCCAGTCAGGGCACATGCCAGGGTTTTGGGCTCGATCCCCAGCAGGGGGCATGCAGGAGGCAGCCAAGTGATGTTTCTCACATCAATGTTTCTATCTCTCTCTCCCTTTCTCTCTCTCTAAAATAAATCAATAAAAACATATTTTTTTTAATTAAAAAAATTGTTTGAAACTAATTCTTCCTTTGCCTTCCTCGAAGTTTAAACCATGTATCTGTTGTTTCTCTTACTTGGGACTGGTAATGAGGCTGCGCTCCGTCTGTTCCCCGTTATGTGAGCTGCTGCTCTCTGAAGTCCTGTCATTAGCCGAGGACCAGCTTGCTTTTCTGAAAGAGAATGGACGAAGTCATCAGCACTTCCTTTCCACCACCTTGCGGTTCACAGGGGTTGTCAGCTAGGCGCCGAGCACACTGGCCTTCCGGAGCTGATCGTATGGGTTTTCATAAAGACAGCCCACATTTTAGTCTACTTTAATTTATGTCAAATTTGAAAAGTACTTCAGATGAGAAGAATAAGGAGTAACTTGGGTTATAATTTATCAGCATCTCAGAAGTAACTACGGTGGATATGACAAAGTGGATTGTGGCTGTTTTAAAAAAAAAAAACCCAGACAAACTGTGGATCAGTAGTAACCTTGCTGAATCATTTAAAGTGCATAAGTAACAGGTTTCGGCGAATTTCTATTTTGAGCTATACATAGAATGATACCAATTTCATAGTCATGATTTTTTCCTCTTTGTGAGCTACTGGTGATTCTAAAGGAGTAGCAGTGAGAGCAATTGTCCATAGATGCTCCCAGCTGGTATCCAACAGTCATTTCCCCTCCCCCCAAAAAACATGAATTGACATACTGATCACGATAATCAATACATAAGCATAGAAACTGCTGATTTACTACATCATAACAAACAAATAACTGATGGACTACTATCCAAGTCCTTTGGAAGAGCCTTAAAAAAATACAGAGTCAACAAACTACTTCTTTAAAAAATCAGTTCAAACTTCCCAAGTGTGCTTACATTGGTTTTAAAAATATATTATATTCTTTCATCAAGCAAATACTGCCAGAGACAAAGCACCACACTACGTCCTACAGTGGCAGCAAAGACTAATCACCGATTGCCCTGAAAGAACCCTCAAGGGACTTAAACAGTCTTTTAGGGAAGATATGAATTAGAAAGCAAAAATTTTCCTGTTAGAAATAGAAATAAAGCGTGATGACTATTCAGAGGAGGGAACGATTCCTATTTATTGGAAAGCTAAGGTCAGGGAGGGTTTGTGCTAAGGCTCTTTCTTTTTTTTTCAATCTTTTTTAAAAAAATTTATTTTTGTTACAAATGTTTCTCCTTTTTTCCCCCATTGACCCCTTCCTCCTGATCCTGCCCCCCACCAGTCCCCAGCACTGATGTCTATGTCCATGGTTATGTATACATGCATATATGCATATAAGTTCTGTGGTTTATACACACACACACACACACACACACACACACACACACACACACCACCAAGGCTCTTTCTTTCACTTACTCAAACAAACCAAAGTGCCCATCACTTCAATGACAGGCACTCTTCCAGAGACAAGAGAAAAGAATTATAAACAAGCGCAAAAAAGTGTTTGCGGTGCAAGGATAATTATCTGACCAGGGTGAGGATGGGCTGATTTGGGGTCTACTGTGATTGGGAAAGACCCAAAGCCAAAGCAGGATGCACCAAGCATTTCTGGGTCACAGGTATGAGAGGAGTATGGTTTCAGGTTTGAATGATGAGCCAAAGTACAGAGGGTTTGAAAGCTAGGCTAAGGGATTTGATTTTACAGGGTATGGAAATACCAAAAGGTTGTGGTTAGGGAAGCAGAGATATGCTTTGTGCTTTAGGCTCATCTATCTTTCAGAGTAAGGTTTGACGGAAAGATGAGAGGGCTGGAAAGTTACCAGACTGTTGCACCAGCACTGAGGACAGTTGGCCTTACTCTGGGCCAGCAGTAGAGGGAGCTAAGAGGAAGTGATGAAATTCATAGGGGAAAAATGAATGGGAAATAAGAATCTCTTATCATTTCTTCTGATTTTGTATTAATTGTTTCTTATTCAGGATGGGTGGGCATCTATATGGCACTGAAGACCAAACCTGGCGTGGGGATGCATAGTCAATTACGTATTATCCTCAGGATGTTCAGCTTTCAAGGTTGATGTGTCTCTTTACTTAGAACCTCCATCGCTGAATAATTCATAATGCCTTGCCTGCCCCTAGACCTTAACACTTTGTTTTTAAGTATTCAATAACAAAATCCAATTGTAAATATCTTGCATTTGAAGTCATTGCAAGGATATGGAAAAGCCACACTTTGAAAGCCAATTCTAAAGAGAGGAAATTTTCAACTGGCTATAGCAAACACCTCCCAGGAAAGAAACTTGCAAATATGTATATTTGGCTGTCAGAGATACATCTTGATATACTGAGAAGTGCATGATTTCTACACCTTATTGAGATGAATAAAAAAATAATATCTTTCTTCCCACGCTGAACAGAGAGCACGCATCTGTTGTGGGCTGTGAACCTGCTGTGCCGCATCAGAACAGGTAGAGGGCTCGGTACTCTCACTACTGTTTTTGTCTTCGGGGAAATGATCAGATACTTGGATCCTGGGACCACATGTTGTCTTCTCTGTCAGGCTGTTGTGCCCCAGGATTGCAAGTGTCCAGTATATGTACTCAGGCCTGCATGACCATTAGTATGGGAAAATAAGGCTATCGAGAGCCAAATGCAAAAAAGTAGTACATTTAATTCAGTAATTTTATTTAGGTATTTATTCAATCAAAAATATGTATCAAGAACCTTCAGTGTAGAGAGAGATGGTGTTGGCACAACATTGTAAATGCACTACCACTGAATTGTGCTTTAAAATTTTTTTCTTTATTGATTTTAGACAGAGAGGAAGGGAAAGGGAGAGAGAGATTTAAAACATCGATGAGAGAGAACATCGATTGGCCATCTCCTGCATGCCCCCCACTGGGAATCAGGCCCACAACCTGGGCATGTGCTCTGACCAGGAATTGAACCGGTGACCTCCTGATGCATGGGTTGATGCTGAACCACTGAGCCACACCAGCTGGGCTGAACTGTGCTTTTTAAATGGTTAATTGTTGGTTATGTGAATTCCATCTCAATCAAAATACAGACACACACACACACACACACACACACACATTGAAGATGACCTGGAAAGTATCCTAAGTAAAACAAGCCAAGCAGAAAAAGACAAATACCACATGATCTCACTTATATATGGAATATAATGAATATAACAGTCTGAGGGTAGACCCACAAACACAGAAGTAGGGTACAGACTGACAACCCTCGGAGGAGGGGGTGGGAAGAGATAAACCACAGAACTTATATGCATGTACACATAACCGATGGACATGGACAACAAAGCCGGGGACAGGGCGGGGGGGATGGGGAGGAGGGTGTCAATGAGGACAAAAAAATAAAAATAAATAAATAAATAAATAAATAAGATTAAAAAAATAATACAGACACACATACACTCACACACACACATATAGAAGATGATACAGATAAGGGTGGGGGATCTATTAGGTCTGAGGCACAGGGTTAGGTGTAGGTATAGAGATGTGGAGAAACAGACACATTTCTTATCTTTGTGGATTGCTGTTCTAGTAAGAAATCAGAAAACACACAGATAAAAATATATTACAATGGAAGCAAATAAGCAAGGTAAGCGTGACAGAAATAACAGGGTGTAGAGGAACTTAAACGGGTGGCCAGGGAAGGTGATGAGACAGAGGATGAGATGGAGCCAGTTATGTGGATAGCCAGGGACGAACCATGCCAGGTGGAGGACCAGAGAAGCGAGCCTGGACAATAGCACTGAAGAGGGTGGGGGTCAACAGCAGGCTGCTGATCATGAACAGGATGCTGGCTGTGGCACGGGGACCACACGATGAGAATTGTGGGTGGGTAGAAGGGTTGCTGGGAAAGGGATGAGGGAGTGAGGGGGTTTCTGCATTAAAAAAAAGGCATAGAGGCTGATATGGTCAGAAGCAGGAAAAATGGGAAATTTGGGGCCCTTATTTATTTGACGTTCAGCCACGTTCTAGGAAGGATTTAGATGGCGAATTTACAACACATTAGAAGGTTAAAAAGAAGAAAATTGAAGAAATTACGGTGAGAGGAAAATCTATGTTGGAAAATTAAGATTCAGCTGAAAACGTTCTGGCGATAGGTGGGCCACAGCTTTGGTTCTGAGTTTCCTAGCTACAAATGCAAAAAGGGGAACAGAATCACGCAGCGGATCAGAGTGGGGCGTGTAAATGCGAACAGGAAGGAAGGATGGAGAGCCCTTCCCCCTGCCATGAAGGGGAGAGTGGAAAGTTAAAACAACAATACTACCTGGACCTGTAGAAATGGTTTCTTCATTGGTTGTCAATCTTATCTGAAAATAGTAATGAATAAAGTTTGTTAATTTCACTAAAATTTTAAAATTGACTATAGAATGTGTATGGCTGTTTTTGCTGATGTCTAACAGGAAATTTCCATGTAAGATATCAACCTAGGAAGCCTTAAGTTGGTCAAGCATGGAATTTGTGTTGGGTAGGGAGGGAGCTGGGTGAAAACTGAAGCAGCCATCCCTACGTGATCAGAGAATGTCCTCTGCCTGGGAAAGTTCTGCTTCTGGATTTGGAAGTCCATACCCGGCTCTGGCCAGTTTGGCTCAGCGCTTGGAGCATCGGCCCGCGGACCAGAGAGACCCGGGTTCAGTTCCCACTAAGGGCACATGCCTTGGTTTCAGTTTGTCCCTGGCCCCAGTTGAGGTTGTGTGGGAGGCAACCAGTCTATGTGTCTCTCTCACATCAATGTTTCTCTCTCTCTCTTCCTCCCTGCCGCTCTATCTGAAGATAAATGCAAAAATGCCCTTGGGTGAGGATAAAAAAAAAAGAAAGTCCACCCCTGGATCAGCGTAGGAGGAAGGAGCTAACTGCTATGCTAGGTTAGCAGACGGATATGGCAGACATAGCACCTCATTTTCTCTGTGTGTGTGTGTGTGTGGGTGTGTGTATGCATGTGTGCATGTGTGTGTATAAGTGCTCTGTGTAACAGAGTCCAGGGGTTTAAAATTATTGGATAAACCCAAGCCTTATGATACGAGACAAACTTTTTCTCTCTTGATGCCCACAGACACTCACAGCTGACCAAAGTGTGACCTGGCCACAGCATGTCACTTCTGAGAATGTGGCTGAGGCATTCTTAACATGAAAATATTTTACCAAGTTCCCATATCTTTACTAAAAATATAATGTCACCCTCTTTGTGCTAACCAGTGGGGGGAGTAAGAAAGAGTAAAAACAGAGCCTTTCTATTTCTATGAACAAAACAGACCTTGTCTTGGCTCCCACACAGCGTCTAAATTCCCCTTCATTCCATTCTCCACTCCCAGGGGCTGTGCCCGTCACTGCCCTCCTTGCCCTCGTGTCGCTAACTTTGCAACCACCAGAAACTCTCCTCCTCAGTACTCCCATCCCAAAGCAGAAGCTGCCTCTCCACCTGCCCCGGCGCCGCCAGGCGGTGAGGGCCCTGCTGCCTTCCTGTGCGGGTGGTCTCAGCGCTCCTCATTCTAGGACAGAAAAGGAGGAGGAGGGAGAGAAGGGTCCCTCCTGCCTGTGGGAGGCGGAATAGAGAACAGTTACAGTGTGGTCAGATGGCGAGATGCAAATCTGTCAATTACTAGTTCTGGGAAACTTTTCTCAAGTCCCTTAACGGATGGAAACTTTAACGTTTTTACAATAAGAAGACAGTGGTTCCTTTCTCATAGAGCTGATGTGAGAATTAAAGGAGATAATATATGTCATGAGGACAGGATGCTGACTGGAGATAGTCTGTGTAATTAATGGTGCCTGGAAAAAACAGGAAAGCCCTTCCCTTCCAGCTCACCCGCCCTCCCTTCCTCTCCCAGCTTCCCCGGGGCAGGATGTGAGACTGGGAGGGAGAGGAGAGCAGGAAACCCATCCCCAACACTTGTCTCCCCACTCACAGCCCCAGCATCCAACTCCCCTCCCCAGTCCCCAAACCTGTGGGTTTACCACCCCCTAAACCTCGGGGTCTCTGCAGTGCCATTCCTAGGTTCCTTGGGACATTTTCCCAACCCTGGGCTTCCCCTGGTGCCTGTCACTTGGGGTGATGAAGTCACAGCTGCTCTGTACCACCTGTGTGCAGTGCGCGCCCTGCCCTGGCCTCAGGTGTTTCCAGGGCTCCCAGCCGGACCCTCTCTCATAGAAATAGCGTCATGCGTGATAGCGTGACCGGGCTCCACAGTGAGCTCTGCTTCTGTTTATAAACCGGATCCCTAACCTCCAACAAAACCCTGGCTCTGGATGAGAACCAAGCCATGGACTCCCAAACACTTCCTCCTTCTGTGCTGGGAACGTCCCCAGGATTTGTTTAAACAAACATGGTACTTCCTCCTTTACAGAGTATTTTCATATCCGTGTTCTCCTCTGACTTTTCTGAGTAGGGAGGGGTAAATGTTACTAAATGCCATCTTAAAAGAAAGAGCCTGAGAAAAGAAACTTAATTTGATATGTCACATAGCTGAAAGTAGTTGTGTAATCCTATTTAGTGAAGTAAACTGTGGGTTAACATAATGTTTCTGCTGAAGATCCTGTTCAAGCAATGCCCACAAACAGATATACTATAATTTGTCATGTACTAACTGTACATTGAGACATCTTCACATTCAGTTTCTCAAAGAAGTTCCTTCCTCCCTCTTCCTCTTCTCTTTCAGATCAACATACGGGAAGAATATAAAACACCATTACTTGGCCATTTCTGTCTTCTGAATAAAACAATCACAAACGCCCTGGCCGGTTTGGCTCAGCAGTTGGAGCGTCGGCCTGTGGTCCAGGGAGACCCAGATTCAGTTCCCGCTTGGGTGCGCGGGTGGCAGTTTGTCCCCGGCCCTGGTTGGTCGTGTGGGTGGCAGCCACTCGATGTGTCCCTTTCGTGTTGATGTTTCTCTCTCTCTCTCTCTCCCTCCCACTCTATCTGAACAAAGGGTAGAAGGGTGTTCTTGGGTGAGGATTAAAAAAAACAAAAACAATCACAAACATTCTCCATTGCTGTGTGACCTTGAACATAATGCTCTGTTTGTGCCTCGGTTTCCACAGTGTGAGGTGAGAAGGTTAGATGGATGGAGAGGCTGTCTAGAGCAGAGGCACGCACCTGACTTCAGGAGTTGACCAGGGCCCACTGGTGCCGTTCCACCTTTTCCTAGTTTATGAATTTAGGGAAAATCACTAAAACACTCAGGGCCTTAGTTTACCCTTTTGCAAAATGAGGAGTCTAGACAAGATGATCTTAAATATCCCTTCAACGTCAGCAGATGAGGTCACCTACCTTTTTAACAAACTGACGTAGTTCCCACCTTACTTGCCAGCAGAGATCGTCCATACTCTCCTCCTCAGTAGGGTCCCAAGAGCCACCATCCTCCTTAAAGAGGCAAGCGATGCTACTTTTGAAGTACTTGTCCTGCATCTGGGATGACACGAAACATAATACAATATTATGCACAGTGCTTTTTATATTTGTTCATTTAAAAATTAAAACTACAGAAACTGATGAGAGATTCAGAGAGGTCTTGGCACCTTGGATAAGCTCAGGGCTTGAAATAAAAGTAGACATGCTGTCCTTTGTCCTTTGAATAAAAAGTAAGCAGTTGAATGTGGTGGAAACATCACCGGTGTGGGCCAGACATCCTGAGGCACAGTGCCCTTGACTGCCCCTGCTATCAGCTAGTTGTGTGTCCCTCAACAAATGTCTGCTTCTCTTCTGTGTCTGTCCTTCATCTGAGATTTGAAGTGGTTCACTGTGGTGACCTTTGAGGTCCTGTTCAGTTCAGACATGGTATGGATCTCATTCTAAAAGTGGAATCCCACCTAGACACAAAGTAGGCAGAAGAGTCTGTTTCAATGTAAGGATCCTAAAAAAATCAGACAAACCATTCGAAGTTCAGGTCATGTTCTGTTTCTTGATCTCAGCTTTGGTTGTCTGAGGAGACCCTAATTATTGTGACTTCTACTTTTCTTGGTTGGCAGAGACTGGATCGTACTGCCACTAAAAATCGGGATGCTGCCTTATTAAATATTCACACTAGCTAGGGGTTCATTTACCGGCAGGGATTTGAAACACCACTTGAAGTTTTGCTACCTCCTCCTCACTGAGAATAAACATTTATAATAGGCAGATCACTGTTGTCAACAAAGTCCTTGCTTGATGTTAAACATATATGCCCCAAACACACACACACGCACGCACGCACGCATGCCCTCCCGCACGCATGCACACCCCTAACCATCCAGAACACTTCCTGCTGATAACTGGTTAACCTTACGAAGAAAAACAGGAAGTCTTTGCAAGCTCTTTCCTTTCAGTTTTCACTTTTAACTGCTGAGGGTAAGGAAGTTTTTCCCCTGTATAAATCTACTTAATTGCCTTTCTCTGGAGAAATAAATGCAAAACATGGCCTGTTGTTGTTGTTACTTAGGAGACTCCAAAGCATGAAGGCAGGCCCACACTTAAGGAAAACCTGCTCATTCCAGATGGGAATAACTCAACTGTTTACGTGGGACCCCAGCCAGAGTCATGCAGTTCTGTGCCCCGTGCCCTGTGGACATTCCTTCAAGGTCCCTCAAGTGCAAAAACACTGACCTGAGTTAATTAATTCCTTCCACACACTCTGGCATTCAAATGTTTATTTTCTTTTAATTACAAGAGTAAAACATTCTCCTGGTCAATGTAGTGGAGGGACAGATGGGGCCTCCTGAGTGGGGATGTGACCAGCTCTGGGCCTGGACAGCCTCTCTTTGCCCCTGTCCACCCCACACTCTGCCGCTGTAGCCTCCATTTGCATCTGCAGTTCACTGCAGTGGGCGCTGGAAGCCTTTCCAAGGGAGGAATCACGCGGCTGAGAAATATGAGAACTTGCCAGCGAACTGTGGCAGAGGATCAGAGAGGAAGGTCTGGAGCCCAACAAAAAGCCTGAAGGGGTTTCCAGGAAGAAGAACTCGGACGCCATCCCAGCTCTGCCAATATGTGGGGCGTTGGCCAGGCAGTGTTTTGATGAAACTAAAAAAACAGGCTCACAGACTTAACTTGTTGGGACAGAAACCTGAATGTGACACAAGGGCAACAGCAATGTGACCTCTTGCTTCAGAGCAGTTGCAAGCTGCAGAGCATGGACAGCGAGGGGCAAGGCCAGCTGAGCTGACAGCTGCCTGGGGTCAGCACATACCGCCAGCTGTGAACGGAAGCGGGTGAGGGGCGGATGTGGAGCAGGGGCCCCAGCTGGGCTCCACTGCCGGAGAGCTCCGAGGAGTTTTCAGAAGGTCACTTTCTGTTGGAAGGGACAACCCTGAAAATCCAGTAAGTTCCTAGATATACAAGGGAGGGAAGTTTGCACCCTAATGTAACGCTATTGTTACCGCAAATACAATGAAGGCTAGCAACACTGAGGATACACAGGCGACCTAGAAAATATAGAAAAGTAAATAACACTTTTCAGAAAGCAAAACCAACCAACAAAACACCCACTAAAACAATGTAACCTCACTCCCAGTTAACTTTGGCACGATCTCTGTTTACTGGGTTGAGATCAGACTGCATGGGGACCATTTTGTGTACGGTTGTTTTCTCTTAAGACTATGTAAAAATGTCGTGTTTTAAAAATCTGGATGAAAATCATATATGGATAGCATAGATATTTTTAGGACATTCACTATAGAAACCTTACAAAATGTAGAAAAATAAAAAGGAAAAAGAGCACCCTACCATAATCCCACCATCTAAAGAGCACACTCGTAAACATTTTGGTATTTCTCATTTTAGACATTTTCATACATAAATATTGATCTGAGAACAGAAACCCAGAAGGAAAGCCCCAGCTACCTTCCCCATGCCCACCTGTTTCTTGCATGATTATATTTGGTAGTTTCTTTTACAGACTTTGCCAAATGCTAGTGTTGGACACACGGGAAAGCAGATACTGTGGTTATTTTAAAAATGAATAATGGCTATTAATGTGATATGTCTCCCTCCCCCCTTTCTTTTCACATCCTTTCCACCTCAAAGTGAGAAATTTTTGCTGCGTGTCTCAGGCTGGGGTTTTTCCATCGCTAGCTACCTCTGCATGTTGGGGGCAGGATGTGCGTGTGCTATTCATCTGTCCCCGATAGGCGAGACAGCTTTTGAACTGGGTGCCTGCTCTTCTGTTCCAGAAGCCCTAGGTTCTGTGATGTGGATTTCCACGCCTACTGGTAGTGCCTTGTGTGGGCCAGGACCAACCAGTATCCTTGGCAGGGCTTGACGTCAGCAGGGTGGACTCTTTGCTGGCTGGCTCAGAGAATTCAAGGTGACATAGTGACCCTCTCTGCTGCCCGGACATTAGTCTCTGACAATCATTTTCTGTAAACCACAAATAGCATAAAGGATCATTTATGGAGATTGGTGGAGAAGGGTCCCTCTCTTTTTTTTCTCCCCCATCTATGATGGCACAGTGATAGGCAATCCCCTTGTCATAAAACTCTCTCAGAGATGTCCCATGACTGAGAGGTCCCAGTTCAATTCCCAGTCAGGGCACATGCCCGAGTTGTGGGCCCGATCCCCACTGGGGGGCGTACAGAGGCGGCCAATCCATATTCTTTTTCATCGATTTTTTCTTTATCTCTCTCTCTCCCTTCCTCTCTCTCTAAAATCAATATAGAAAAAATATTTATTTTGTTAAGGATTTTAGCATCTATGTTCATCTGGAATATTGGCCTGTAGTTTTGTTTGTAGTTGTCTTTATCTGGTTTTGGACTTAGGATTATGCTGGCCTCATAAAAAGAATTTATTAGTCTTCCTTCCTCTGGAATTTTCTGGAATAGTTTGAGAAGAATGTGTGTTAGTTCTTCTTTGAATGTTTGGTAGAATTCCCCTGTGAAGCTGTCCAGACAATCCAACTAAAAAATGTGCAGAGGACCTGAACAGACACTTCTCCAAACAGGACATACAAATGTCCAGGAGACATATGAAAAAATACTCAACATCTCATATCATCAGAGAGATGCAAATTAAAGTGACTATGAGATATCACAAATCCTCAAACAAGTGCTGGCGAGGGTGTGGAGAAAAGGGGACTCTAATACACTGCTGGTGGGAATGCAGACTGGTGCAGTCACTATGGAAAACAATATGGTGTTTCCTAAAAATTTAAAAATTGATCTGCCATTTGACCCAGTGATTCCACTTCTAGAAATATAACCTAAGAAGCCTGAAACACCAATCAGAATGAATATATGTACCTCTGTGTTCACAGCAATGCTATTTATAATAGCTAAGATCTGGAAACAACCCATGTCCATCGGTAGATAAAAAAGCAGTGATACATTTACAGAATGGAATACTATGTTGCTGTAAGAAAGAAAGATCTCTTATCTTTTGAGATGACATGGAGGGACCTGGAGAGTATTATGCTGAGTGAAATAAGCCAGTCAGAGAAAAACAAGTACCACATGATCTCACTTACTTATGCAACATCATGAACAAAGTAAGCTGTCGACCAAAAGAGATCCAGAATCATGGAAGTAGAGAGCAGACTAACAAACCTCAGAGAGATGAGGACTGAGAGGGGTAGGAAGAGATAAACCAAAGAATATATATGCATCTATGCACAACCAATGGGCACAGACATTAGGTTGGGGAAGCAGGAGGAGGGTGGGAGTGGGGAGGAGGGGCTCAATGGAGAAGAAAGGGGGACATCTGTAATACTTTCAACAATGAAAGGAAGGAAGGAAGGGAGGGAGGGAGGGAGGGAGGAGGAAAGAAAGAGAGAGAGAGAGAGAGAGAGAGAGAGAGAAAGAGAGAAAGAAAGAAAGATTAAAAAAAAAACTTTCTCAGAGATACAGAAACTTCAGAAGCTAAGCCCACGGAAATTGTTCATGCTTGCTGGTCTATAGGCTCAGTTGTGAAGGTCCGATCCAGTGTTAGTCAGGCCTCCTTGATTCTCACACCTACAGTCCTTGCTCACTCTATCTTCTGCACATTTCACTAACCAAGGCAGAAACTGTGAACTGTCACAGAAAATGGACACATGTTGAATATGTTTTTCCAAACTCTACACAGACATCCACAAAGATTCAGAGGGTGACAACTTTAAGAGACTGCTCGATACTAATTGCAATGGCTACAGTTTATTGAGCACCTAATTAAGGCCTGGGTTCAAAATTGGAACTTTACTTTTTCTGGATTACTTTTTAATTTTGGATAAATCATTTAACTTCCCTGAGCCTGTTTGTTTATCTATAAAATGGGAGTAATTATACTTACTTTATATAATTATTATGAGAATGAAATAGGGTAATACTTTGCAAAGCTTTTGGAACATAATATTTACTCAATATACGTTAATTCTCCTCCCTTTCTGGCACTCTCAATTAATTTTTCTGCATGTCTATATGATATGTATACATATGTACTATACAATCAAGAAAAATTACAAGTGGGAAGATGTTAAGCTGTATTTGAAATTTCAAATTTTATAGTAAACAACAACAAAAAACTTGATTATATACAGAAAATTGCATGATTCAGCTCAGTAAAGAATCATTTAATCCAGTCATAAAGTTCAACCAGCTTGTAATGTGACCCAACTGAGCAAACATCCATGTGTGGAAAAAACAGGTTCACCCTGTCTATGCTGCAAGGTTGGACAAACGGCACTCCACCCTCTTATACAAACTTAGAATGAAAGGCATGATTATAGTTACACTGATACCTTTTTTCTTTCATACATAGGCTCTTCTAAATGTGCCTTCCAATAAAGCTGACTTTACGGGGCATCTAATGGGAGCCATCATTGTCAAAATTACCCAAAAATCAAACAAGAGTCTACTTCATTCTTTTCCAACCAATGGAAATAACTAAATCTATACTCCACAGGTTTATACAAATTGTATTTCCCCAACAGATAAGCCCACTGAGACCTTTAGCCTTGCAATTCCTAGCCATCTGGCAGTATTGATGTTGCCTTATAACGAGCAGGTGCAGAGTGCACACAGGGTGATTATAACCCTGATAATAACCCTCCACACCCTGCTGTGGAGGGACAAGCATTTCCTAGTACCTCAAGACTTGGGTCCAGCTCTGCTTCCAAAGCCCTGTCTGAGCTTCTGTAAGTCACTTCTCTGGGGGTCTCTAGTCTCATCTCAAAAATGGGATTGTTCATGCCCTGGCCAGTTTGGCTCTGTGGTTAGAGAGCTGGCCCGGGGACCAAAGAGTCCTGAGTTCATTTCCAGCCAAGGACATGTACCTTGGTTGCAGTTCATCCCCGGATTGGTTGGCGTCATGCGGGTGGCAACCAATCAATGTGTTTTTCTCACATGGATGTTTCTCTCTCTCCCTCCCACTCTGTCTGAAGATAAATGTGAAAATATCCTCGGGTGAGGATTAAAAATAAATAAATAAATAAAATGGGATTGTTCAAAGTCCCTTCCAGCTCACAGTTTTTGATAATATACAATTAGTCAAAATATATATAAGAAGCCAAAAAGTTGAGTTATTTTCAGCAATTTTGCATACATTGTTCCAAAAGTTTTATATAGTTGAGAAACACACAAATTTCCATGGCACTGTTTTGTTTTGTTTTCTCTCTGTCAGATTTGAAGCTGGACCTTTCTCAGGCATAGGATGACAGTTTTATTTTCAATTATTTTATAATGAACAGTAAAATGTGAGTTCACCTGATAACCACTATATTATAGACATTCCCCATTACATGTCTGTGGCCAAGGAATAGGCAGAATGCTAGTCCTTCATATTCTCACTGTTGTCAATACACAAATGCCACAGACCTAAAACCAAAATATATTTCAAAGATCTGATTTTTCTCCACCCCATGTCTTAGAGGAAAAAAGAGAAACCTGATGATGTTCTAAGACTCAATTCTGCTTTTAATTCACATGTGCATGTTCCCCCTGCTAACTTTTGAAAGTCTCTTGACCTAATAGTTTAAGACATTGAAAAGAAAGGTAGGAGGAAGAGTCTGGCATTGGGTAACAGCCCTGAAGCCAGAGGACAAGCAAACAGTGTGTCAAGAGAGCATTTCAGTCTGTCCAGAGCCTGAGTCTGGTTTCTTATAAGTATTTTTTTGAAAACCCACTGGGATTAGCCACACCTGAAACATAAAAGAACAACATTATTGTCAATGTTTTAGAGCCTGGGTTTGCTCTGCTCCCTATGTACTAGTGGTATCATGTTTATCAAGGTTGGTTGTTCATTCAACAAGTATTCAGTAACCTGGCCAGTATGGCTCAGTGGTTGAGTGTTGACCCATGTACCAAGAGGTTGCTGATTCGATCCCTGGTCAGGGCGCATGCCCAGGTTGTGAGCCTGATCCCCAGTGAGGGGCATGCAGAAGGCAGCCAGTCGATGTTCTCTCACATTGATGTTTCTCTTTCTCTAAAAAATTAATTTAAAAAAACAAGTATTCAGTAAACACCTACTATGTGGGAGCCATGTAACCAGCCCCAGAAATGTGAGCAAAAGCAGACACAGTCCTGCCCTGATGCAGTTATGCTGACCCCCAAGAATTAGAATCACAATCTAGAAAGCATTCAGCAAAAAGCTCTCAGTGAGCCCTGGCCGGTTTGGCTCAGCGGTTAGAGCGTCAGCCTGCAGTCCAGAGAGACCTGGGTTCAGTTCCTGCTAAGGGCACATACCTCAGTTGCAGTTTGTCCCCGGCCCTGGTTGGGTCGTGCAGATGGCAATCACTCGATGTGTCCTTTTCACATGGATGTTTCTTTCTCTCTCTCTCTTCCTCTCTCTCCCTCCCACTCTATCTGAACAAAAATGATAAAATGTCCTTAGGTGAGGATTTTAAAAAAAAAGCTCTCAGTGAGTGGTGGTAGCAAGTGCTCATATAAAACATGTATTCTGCAAGAAGACAAAACAACGACTGGCATTTGCCAGTCACTGGTGGGACCGCTTCTGCACTTGGGTGCCTTGCACTTACTACACCTTTGCAAAACACTCAGTGATTATGCACTAGCAGTGAGCATCCAGGGGCTGAGAAAGGGAGCATTTTCGTCACTATCGAGTTTTCAAAGAGAAGCAAACAGAGACAAAGGAGAGGCAGTTAACCCGAGGGTGCTGACAGCACTGTACTGACCTGCTTCATCTCGCTGATGAAGTACATGTAAGTCACCGCCGAAAACATAGCCTGCAAGAGAACTATGAAGACCACGACCAGCAGGCACTTACTGCAACTGGAGCTCTGTGAGGCCTTTGTAGCTGTCATGGTCTCGGGATCAGCAGGCAGAATCAGACTGCAGCAAACTCAGGGCAGCACTTACTACTCATGAATAGGTGGGTGGAGCCTTTCAGTTTCCTATCCTTGAAATTTCCCTCTGCCCACCAAACTAAATCAAACAAACATGCAACAGTGCTTGGGCCCAGAGAGGATCACTAGCTCAAAGCCCTAAAGCTCTCTTAATTCTAAACCCAGGAGGTAAATACACCTTGAAAAAGTCTTTGAAACCTAAAGGGTAGATGTGGCTTTAAGAAACCCCTCCCACCTCCTCATCGCTCAGGGCTTGTGTTCCTGCAGATCTTATTTCACATGCTCCCATTTCACATTTCA